ATTATATTATATATAAAAAGGACATAAATATATTTGAATGGAACTTCACCTCCCACACTATATACAGTAAACATGAAAGGAAGCAAACGTTTCACAGGCCTTATGTGATAGTCACCTTCTAGCGGCTTCACCCAGCTATAACTAGTTTCCCAGTCTTTATTGTAGCTGCATTTCCTTTTATTCGTGGTAGTTTCCATCATATTCTGCCTAAATGAGCAACACTTGTGATGACTGAAGATCTCATGAGGCCAGCAGGATCTTCCTGAGGTCCCTCAAATTATTATTTTAAGTATTGTGATGATGAAATGCATCAATAATTGTACCATAACTGCACAAACAGATGTGCAACAGACTCTGAACAACAGCAGGCCTTACTGCAGCAACCCAGGACCCAAATGTGTATTAATCTGTGACTGAAAATAGTCCCATAACTAATGCAAAGTTTAATCCTGCCCCTGTTGGACTGAGCTAAAAACTGCACTGACCCACTTCTGGTTGCCTGAATGCCTCAAATGCTTCTGGTCTTTGTATGGAACAACTAAAATGCAGATAACTACAGTTTTATCATTTAAGAATATTGCTTGGGCACTATATTATATATCATTTTGGACCTGTACTGTATCTATACAGTGTTTCATCTGGTGGATCTTTAGAGTTAAACACATTCTTTTGTGTTTTACGTCTTTCTTAAGTGACCATAATTGTGATATTTCTGCACCTCTTTGAACTCCTCCAGGCAATCATCGCTGCAGATGGTCTTCGTCTCCTCCTCCAGTATCAACATGAGCGGTTTGTTGCGGCAGACTGAGCTGCAGTTTTCACAGACGGCCACGTTGTGTCTGCTGAAATCGTCCCTGCAGGAGTCACTGCAGAACTTGTGGAGAGACCCGTTCAGGGTCAACTCACTTGTGGTCTGTAGGAGATGAGGATAAAGAAGAAGTGAGTACGACAAAGAGTTTGTAGTTAAAATGAATACAATGTGTTTTTGCTTACAGTGCAGGATTTGTTGCACATCCTGCAGATGAACGGTGTTGTTTGGGTGGCCGGCGTGTTGGACTTAAAAGAGACCAGACAGGTCACACTGCAGAAGTCCTTCATAGTTCCCTTAACGTCCACAGCAGCCATGATGAGATCCAGAGGCTGCGATATCGCCCTGACAGAGGGAAGAAGAGGATAAACAGAATAAACTTTGACACAAAGGTTATGTTTATACAGAAGATTGTGATATGACAATCAGGGTAATGCAGAGGTTGAGAGGCTTGCTTGAATAGCTAGATGAAATACCTGGAAGTAGAAATGTGCCGGTATAGCAGTTTCACTATATACAGCAATAAAACATTCTGATGGTAACAATACAACCAACCAGGGGTCACATTTATTTATTAATTTCCTGATTAATTTAAAAATCTGGAGGCACTGAGGGTGTTCCACCTGTAAAACGTTAAGTAATTCAGCATGCAACACTGTCAAGAACACCACCAGTAGTAGACCACCTGGTTCCAGTGATGTATATTTTTCATCTTTATTAGTACATGGGGCTCTACCAGGTGTGACAGTGACAATAATGTTACCTTATTATTTTTGGTAGTATATTATCTCTTCCTCACACACAAGACATTAAAAAGGAACAATGCAGGTAATTTGTAAACCAGACAATAAGTAATCCATCACAGTAAACTTTATATATCGGCATTTACTGTTGTTAAAGGAAGGAATCTCTGAAGGTTCAAATCAGAACTTAAAGATAAAAGCAGACATGATTTTCACTACAATGTGTTACTAAAATTTAAGTTTTAAGCCTCCTCCAGCCACTGGAAACCAATGAATCATACTTTATACTACTACGTATGTTACTATGTGCACGAACAATGGTGTAGTAGTTTAAGATAAAAGTTGTGTTTTCCACAGACTCACATATGACAGAAATGACAGGTCTTAGTGTTTGGTTTGTTGGCGGGAAACAAGGCGAATAGGCAGTTTTTGGAGCAGAAGACATCTGTGAATCCCTTCTTCTGGTAAGCCGTTTGACCCTTCATCATGGCCTTCTGGCAGTGGGAGCAGGTCATCTGCATTTCCTGATGTGCAAGAGAGTAGATTTTGAGTTATCCTCCTTCCTAAACACATACAGAATGAATTATGTAGCACTGGACCTGCTCACTCCAGCTTTGAATGTTTGCTTATACTTTCACAGTTTCAGATGATTTTATCATAAAAAATGACTGAATTGAGATTTAAATGATGAATATCTCATACATTTATTGTATCTAAACACTCTTATAAATGATTTACGCTGAAGTGTGTCCCTCTACCTTTGCGCTGTTAGGTTTGTTTGTGACGTCTTGTGGATGTTGCTGGTTGTTGTCGTCATGGATGGGCTGATTGACAGAGTCACCCACAGATGATAGCTGGGAAATGTGGATTGGAGTCTGCAACTTGTCCTGAGACAAACAAACAACAATAAGAAGATAGAAATCTTGTATTGTTGAGACTTTTTACATTCTTGTCATTTATCATATGTGTATAATCTAAAGTCTAAAGTGAGTCTAAAGAAATAAT